AAAAAAAAAAAAAAAAAGAGAATAGATCTTCTCTACCATATATCCTATTTTGACACCAAGAAATGAGGGAGTGGCATTTCACCCCTAACCACAACTCATTCGCTGATTCTTCAACATCAGTCGGTTCGGACCCGCCGTCCTCCCAATCCTCAGTAAACTTGCACCATTTAACCCACAACTTAAAAAGCTTGTAGGTAGGGTAATGGTAGCCTTCAAGGTGAAAGCATCCCCCAATCGGTAGCTAAGCTAGTTGACAGACCATGTCATGTCCACGGAAAGCTTCACGCCCTGGAATTGAATAACTTCAGAAAGTGGCTGGTAAGTCCATCGGTCCACACAGTTGTCCATGTACCAGTAGAAGATTCGGCAGCTACTGCAGCCCCCGCTTCTTCGGGCTCGGGTAAGAATCACTATGTTGTGTGGGTCAATACCCCAAGTGAGCAAGTTTGTAGCATACGGGTAATTTTAGTTCCTACTCCTCCTCCTTAGTTATTTCCTCCTTAGTTAGTTCCTACTCCTCCTTAGTTATTTCCTACTTATTTCCATTACCCATTCAGTCACTTTGGCACTGGACGTTCCCAAAACGGGTACTATCGGGTCAATTCAATAATAGACGCCTGTTAGCATTCCAACCTCTCGAATGTTGGAATGCAAATGCTATTGGGAAAATCGCCTCCAACATTGGAAAGCCCATCTCAACCGACAAATTCACCGAGTCCAAGGATAGATGTAACTTTGCACGTTGTTAATATAATTAAGTGATTGAAAAATAGTTATTTTATTTTCTTACTGCATGTGAGACATTAGTTTGCAAAGAAATTAAATTAATATACTTTTCTTATAAAAATTTCGGTAACCAACGTGTCAAATTTTATTAAAAAAATCATTAATTATAAACCAAATTCAAATTTAGAATGTTTGGAAACCGGCCTTTTTGAAGAAAATCTTTCACAAAATTTGGAGAGAAATATATTTTCAAATAAAAATAAATTGATAGATATTTTTACTATAATATCTGTCAGTTTAATAATAATACTTCGACACTTCGACACCACTGCTCGAAGACGACAAAAGTTCAATGCTTTTTGGTAGTACACAAGTATTGATGAAAAATTCACAACTAAATTTAAAATATGTCGTATAAAATTGTGGGTTGTGAAATTATGAGTTTTGTATTTGGAATTATAGGATGTGAACTCTTGGATATTGTGTGTGTTAGTAATATTTGATCAACAGTTGAATTTTTCCTATTATAAAAATATTATTTAAAATTTTTAATACGATGAATTATTGATGAATGTTGAATTGTTTTAAAGCATATAAAAATTAAAATATAACTAGATACTCATTTAAAAAAATAAAAAAGAAAGAAATCTCCGGAGATTCGAACTGAACCAAACCAAACCGATGGAATCGTTACGATAGTCTCGAATACCGAACTGAACCGAACCGAACCACAAAATAAAACTCCAAACCCTCCCGATCTTTGGTACGGTTTTAGAGATCGAATTTAGTGATCTCCAAATTTTGGTAAGGTTCAAGAAATTTGAGCATTTTTTACGGTACCGTACCGACTCATGCTCACCCCTAAGGATTATATGGTTGCTGCATGCCCGGCGAGGACCCACAACGTCTAGGTAGGCCTCACAAGGAGCACTCCGAAGCATCGTTCGATGCCCAACTGAGAGGCTTCTGATCCACTTGCTAACAGCGCTAGGTAAACTACCCCATTCGCAGTGTCAAGCCTTAATACGAGGTCCCACTACAGCATTTGATTCGTCTCCCAGCAGATGGCAATTCGCAATTCCAACTTGGCCATCAGTTATCTCATGAGCATTTGATTGGTCTTCTTGTCTTTCTTCTCTTACTAATTATCTGAAATTTATTTCATGGTTTTGGTATTAGGGATGTATATTGCAAGCTGGTGTGGTTCATAATAAACAAGCGGAGGAAAAAAGAATGGCTGGCGAAGGACAAGTAGATGCTTCGAGTTTGCTGCAGAGAGATTACTACTTCGAAGATTGCCCAGGATGTAAGGTGGATCGGCAAAAAGAATTACAAAGAGGGCTGCCCATTAAACAAGTTCTCACTGTATGGCTTATTGTTCTTGCAACATGTAATGGATCTCACACTTTTTCCTTTTAACTGTTCTTTTTTGCCTTTTCTTTTAAGAACAAAATGTGTTGGGTTTTGTTTGTGCTCGATAAAGGTGATTTTTATTTTTTTTTTGTTGGGTTTCATTTACTATTGTTTTGTGGGTTTGATTGTCTGAATATCAAATCAAAGCTGGAAGTTTTTGCTGGTTTGTTGTTGGTTGCTGGTTTGTTGTTGGTGGTTTGTTTTACAGAAATGATGTTTTCTTTGTGGAAATAATAGTTTTCTGAGCACCAGGACATGTTGTGTCATGATAATTATGTTTTTTTGAAATGTTGAAAGTGATTTAGTGTGCTATTTTCATCATTAACCATGTATCTCATTCTACATTGAGCAACCGGTGTATTCATTCATGTTGGTCTAATATGTGCCTTCACATCTGCAGCTCTGCCGATATCATCTCTCTTCCCGTTCCTTTATTTCATGGTGAGTACTCAAAGTTAGCTGTAGAGTATAATTAGAATTTCACTCGCTTCAAATAAGGTCTATTAATAGTCTTTCAACTTGAAGTTAGCAATGCTTCACTACCCAAATTGCATTTTCGTGTGTTTTTCCTTGTGTTTCGTGCAGGGGTAACATCTGAGAAATTTGAATATCTATTCCCTTTATGTGCTCTGTTTGGATCGGAGACCATGTTTTTTCTTTGTTCATAGGGAAAGAAGGACCTTATTGTATTGGCACAATATTTTTAAGAGCAGCTTTTGCCCCTCTGGATTTCTCTAATGTATTAATGGGGTACATTAGCATCTTAAGGTTGGGTATATCTATCTAATCAAAAATAAATTTTCCATTTCAAGATTAATATTCAAAGGAAATGGGATATATTTCATCCATCGTGTGAGTAGGATGGTTATTCAACATTGCTCACCAAACCTTGACAATTAAAAGTAAAACATGTTACTTAGAATGAATAGACTAGTATATCCATCTCAAGCAAATGAAGCAAATAAATGATATAGGATTAGCCTTTTTCTAGCCTTTTTAGCCCCGTTGAGGTGCCCTTGCTCCAATGAAACATTAACGTTGTAAATATAGAAGAAAAACTTGTTATGCCCTTTTTTCCCCAACATGTATCTCAATATTTAACCTCTTCGCAGGTTAGGGATTTTGGTATTGCGAAGCAAGAAGAAGATATTGGTTATTATGTTGGTTTTATAGGTTCGGCGTATTTGCAGTTTTTTAATATATATTTGAAATTTGTTCATCAAATCCTCATTTTAATCATCAAGGGCTTGATAAAATGTCAACTCGTGCAGGTTCCACCTTTATGTTTGGAAGAGCTTTGACATCTGTCTTTTGGGGATCGATTGCTGATAGATATGGCCGCAAGCCTGTAATAATGATTGGCACTATCACAATGTTAGTTAAAAATCTAGTTCAAGTTCATCTTTTATCCCAATTCTCATATCCTAATAATGTAATGGTTTTTCATTGACAGCGTTATATTCAATACTCTCTTTGGGCTTAGTGTAAACTTTTGGATGGCCATCATCACAAGGTTTCTTCTTGGAAGTTTGAATGGTTTACTTGGACCTGTAAAGGTATATTTTTGCTAAAGATGCAACCACATTTCAGGTTACTTAAGATCTAGAGCTGTAGCTTCATTATACTAGTGGATTTTTCTTCACCTTCTAGTGCTATTTTATACACTCATACTATGCTTAATCCTTGGCTAGGCATATGCATGTGAAGCAGTTCGTGACGAACATCAGTCTCTAGGACTATCAGCGGTAAGGAGTTATTAATGGTCTTTTGTAACATTATTGTATGATAGTGTGAGATAAATGTAAAACAATGCTGTTAAAAAGGGGTCAAATAAGGATATATGCCCTGAGAAGAACAATCATTGAAAATGCAACGGACACGTGCACGGAAATTTAAAATGGGCATAAAACATAAAACAATGGTTAAGAATGTTGCAGTAACCATGTTTATTGCTCATAAGTCATAACTTCTGGACTTGTTTTCATGTACACTACAAGAAAATAATGAAATTTTAATGGAAAATTTCAACGGAAATATATTTCAATAGAATTCTAACGGCAATTCCAATGGATATTCTAATGCTATTATTTCTGTTGGAATTTTGCAAAGGATTCCAACGGTAATTCCAACAAAAATATTCCGTTGGAATGAGTTTTCTATTGGAATTTCCGTTGGAATTTGACGATTCAAACGAAAGATTTTCCAACAGGGGTTCAAATAAAAATTCCAATGGAAATTCCGACGATAAAAAACTGTTGGAAAAATAGCCGTTGGAATCATCAAATAATATCTAAAATTCTAATGGAAAACACATTCCAATGGCATATTTCCGTTGGAATTGATTCTAACAGAAGCTATCCATTGGAATATCCGTTGGAATTTCCAATGGAATATATTACCGTAGGATTTTCTGTTGGAATATAACAACTTTTTTTTTTTTGTAGTGGTATATTGGAGTCAACCTGCAAACGACATGACAGTTGATCCATCTGCATATAGTTGGTTCAATTTATTTAGAAATAATCTCCTGCAGTGAAAAATGTCACTGATTCCTTTTGAATTGTACCCTATTCTTTTAGGCATTTTTCCTTTAGCTTTTGTCTTAAGGGTTCAACTTACATTTTCTAGGTCAGTACAGCATTGGGAACAGGATACATTATTGGACCCGCTTTGGGAGGCTTTCTTGCCCAGGTACTTTTTCTGTTTTCCTTTGTAAGTCATCTGATGCTTCTTTCCATTTAGAATGGCTGGGGATGGATAATTTTACTGTTGTGTAGCCATCAAGTGTGAAATAAATACGAGCAGATGAAGGGGGAAGTTTCCAAAATAATTTTTCAGCTAAGTTTAAACAGCTTTTTTGTTGCACTATTACACATTGCATGCGCGATATTGTTGCGATATTTGTTATATTATGTTAAAAAAAGTAGATCATCTTATTAGAAATGTGAAATCCATATAATCGGAAGATAGTAATTTCAGAGAAGTGATATTATCTCCATTAGATATTGAACCTCTCTGAAGAAGCGTATTCGTCCCACAGGTCCATAATACTCATGGAAAATTTTTTGTATTATGATGCGTGATGTGAAACTCCTACACAGTGAGTTGTCCAGCACCATGTAAAACATCATGTATGTTAAGTTTCCCTTGTAACATTCTACTTCATGTGTTTTGTAAATAAGGTTTCAGGGAGTTTGTCTATGTGTCTGCGGTTTTCACATGCATGTTTTCTCTGTTAATTTTCACCTTTTATTAATTTTTTATATGCTGCCACAAATCCAATGGTGCCATGCATGGAATCGGGATTATCCGCCATAATTTTCTCATATCTTCATAAGAGTATATATATCATCCAAAAAGATGTTAACAGAATTATCAAACATTTTCTGCTTTCTGGAAACCCATCGCCAATTCATAGAGTATGGAAAAAGAATTTATCATGTATTTGTCAGCAATAGAGAATCAAAGGTGAAAACCCACCAGTACATTACATTATTAATGTTTAAAATTATGTTATGTTTTGCTCTGATTCTGAGGTCTTAACTTTGTTTAGCTTCTTTTATCTTTAAAATGAAGTTGAGCTCCCTCGGAAGAGTTACGAGCGACTTGTCTATAGTTATGAACACTGTATATTTTACTATAAAATTTATATTTGAACTTGCAAATATGTATATCTTCCTCTTCACTACTTCTCATTGTTTTTCCAAATTTTTCTTATGAAATTTTTGGGGTAAGCCGGCTGAGAAATTCCCTGGAATTTTCGCGCAAGAATCTTTGTTTGGCAGGTATGTTGTCTTTCTTTCTTTCTTCTACATTTGTTTTCATCTTCTGTCATCATGATCTACAACAATACCATTATTTTGTAGATTCCCCTACCTCTTGCCCTGTCTAGTGATTTCACTCTTCGCGGCCATTGTGACAGTTGTTTGCTACTGGATCCCGGTACATTTCTTATACCTAGCATTCTTTGTTTCTTCTTTCTTCAGTTTCTATACATTTTCTTTTCTTGCTGGTTTGGTTAAAATGTACATAGTTGACTTTGCCTCTCTTACCACCCATACGTAAAATTGTAACTTAATAAAAGTACATTTATCAAAGGTTTTACGGCGATAAAAGTTGTTTGTGTAGAGGTGGTAAGCTGTTGTTGGTCATGCTCAGTTATTTAAAAAATTGTGGTTCCCCAGAAAACTAGAAAATTGTGTGCATGGTTCATATATATGTTAATGGCGTATATATTACTTGTATTGCCAAATAGCTAAAGTTATCTTCGTCATATTTACCATGGGGATTACTTTGCGAAATGCAGGAAACCTTGCACACACACAACTCAACAAATGTATCATCTCAAGGTTGTTATGCTGCCTTGGAGTCCGGGAATGAAGTGAAGATGGGGGGACACAAAAATGCTCCTAATCAAAGCCTACTTAAGAACTGGCCCCTCATGTCGTCCATCCTCGTATATTGCATTTTCTCACTTCATAATATGGCTTACACTGAGGTAACTTATACTGTCATTGTATCACTTAACTGCCCAAGTTTATATATTGTTTTACTTTTCAGAATTGCTGGTTTATTTGAACGTAGATAGTGGTTCAGCATAATGCTTAGCTGTAAACTGAACTTTAAAGCTGAAAACGTGTCTCTTTTTCTTGCTATTTGATGTGAATTTTTTGCATTTATTTATTTTATTTTTTGCTGTTAATGTGCATCAAATTTAGGAAGAAAGAGGAGATATACTCGACTTTCTGTATAATTATCAAGCAGCACAAAACCTTCCTTCAATTTTTCAAGTAAAATCTACTGTCATCTAGAGAAAAAAGAAAGATGTTATTTGAATTCTTTTTCTTCACTTGGACACAAGGATCATATTTTGGTTGTAAGTAGTGAAATCTTGGGAAGGGAATCGGAGACTAATTTTGAAACAGGTTTATGTTAAAGTTGAATTCGCACATATTCATGATACAAACATTTTAATATGTATAATTCCAATATGATTCTGTTTGAAACTTTTTTGTTGACCTGTTTGCATGCATTCGTATGTTGTTAAACCATTTGACAGATATTTTCATTATGGGCTGAGAGCCCGAGAAGACTTGGAGGCTTAGGCTATACAACTGACGCTGTTGGCACAGTTCTTGCCATCTCAGGTGTGGGGTCTCTGAATTTTTCACCTATTCCTGTTCTTTCTTCTTCTTCTTCTTTTTCTTTTTCCTTTTTTTTTTTAATGTTACACAGTGATGCTTTAATGAACCATATTGATAGGATTCGATGTTTTAGTGCAATGTATGTTATGGAGTGCCATGATCTATGTTTCACTTGTCCATTTGTCCATCTATTCATATATTTCAGTTTCAGGCGAAGTTTCTCTCGAATAAGCTTGTTCTGACAATCACTCTCTCTCTCTCTTTTTTTATTTATTTTTTTATTTTTTTGTTAGCTGATTTACTTACATTTATGTTCTGTTAATGGGTGTTGGGATTTCAGGAGTTGGCCTATTGGTCTTTCAATCTTCGTTATACCCAGTGATGGAGAAAATCCTTGGTCCTATCCGACTTTCTCGAGTTTTAGGAGTAAGAATGTTAAACTTGAGAAGCAGCATGGTTATGGTCTAGAACTATCTACTTACTTATCCTGGGATTCTGCAGATCCTCACAATTCCTCTCTTAACAAGTTACCACTATATAGCCATGTTATCCGGTTTAACGCTCTCCATTGTGTTGAACTGTGCATCTCTACTGAAGAATGTTTTTTCTGTAAGTGATTTACGTTTTTATCATAGTCGTTCAACTAATTGTGCATCTAATGAGTGTCTTGTTACATTCACACTGCCGGTGACATTCTTATAATAGTGCTGCCTCTTGTTTCTTTCATTCCAACCGTACGTTTCCATTTTTTGAAAGTACAACTTTTTTTGCGGATAATTTGGAAATATGTCCATTTCAAATATCTGATTCGTGGTTTAGATTCAGCACATTTCTGTATATGTAATTTTTTGTGTGCTATACCCAGATCTCCATTGTGACGGGGCTGTTCATCTTACAAAATAGAGCTGTGGTAATTCTTTAATCTTTTCATTTTTTTTGGTTATTTCTTCTCTGAACGCACTTCTATTGAGTATCCATATAAACAATTTCATCTAAATTAAAGGATCAACATGAAAGAGGGGTCGCCAACGGCCTAGCCATGGCCATGATGTCGCTTTTCAAAGCAGTTGGTCCATTGGGGGGTGGAACACTGTGAGTTTCTCCTTTTCATGTTTAGCCTTTCAGATACGAGCCAAACTACTACAACTGGTTTTTAAATCTATGATGCTAATAATAATATATATATATATATATAAAAAAAAAACTCCAAAAGAGACTTTTTGCGATAGTCCCAAGAATATCAATTAGGACCTGAGTGCCCCAAGACGACATATTTCCATGTTTTACAATATACAGAAGTCTTGCATGAAAAGTTTCGACATTTTCCCTTCTCTTGTTAACTAGTTGTGTTCGAATTAATTCCTGCAGATTCTCTTGGGCACAAAAGCGCTTAAATGCGGATTTCCTTCCAGGTACGTACGTCCAATGGATGAGACTTCTTATTAGGCTCAGTGTGGGCATTTGTCTACACTCAAAATATATGGTCCCTTTATTGCACTACACTATTATCCTTATTGTCATAAATGAAAATCCCTATAAAGAATTAACATAACTCATTTAATTGCGTTGCATCTATATGAAACAAAGAAGAATCGCAATAATCTTCTCACCATCAACGCAATAGATTAAATAACGCTTAATACAAGAGTAGAGAAATATTTCAGTTGTCTGTGGTTATGTCACTACAAAAAAAAATTGTTATATTCCAACGGAAAATCCTCTGGAAGTATATTCCAATGGAAATTCCAACGGATATTATCATTCATCGTCTCCCTCGACGACAAATCCAACTCCCTCGAATTTAACTTGGGTGATTTCCAAAGATAAATAGAAATATGCCCTTCCT